ATTAATTAATATTATTGTGAGTAGATTGATGGAATATCATGAATAATGACGTCATGACAGTTTGTGGATAAAATATATAATTTTCTTGACCGAATCGTTATTAATGACTTTGCCCTAATCATATACAGCAACTGTACGCATACATTCATAACTCACACTAACACCGGGCACTTGGGTACATGATGTATTATGCGATAGTCTATTTGTAATAAATTACACTCCAGTCAAATCATCGTTTTATTAAACTATTTACAAATGCTATTATACTATGTTGTAATCAATTATTTTTAAAGACTTGTCCAACAAGATTTTTTCATAATTTTCACTCACAAAACAACACTGATCCCACCGCTTAGAGACTTTCGATTTCTTATCTTGTTGTATCGTGTAACGCAACACGTATATTTTCAGTATCAGGTTGCTGAAAGGAGCAAACTGGTCACTAATAAATTTACCATAATAGTGGCTAATATTTAGTATACAATTTAAAATATTTATGATACTCGTATTAATTATCAATATTTTATAAACAAATCAAATTTTTGTACAATTAAAGTCTAGTTATAGATGTGTAAATCCAGCTTCGTAAGCACGGTTTGTGCCTGCAACTAACAGGTATACTACATTTTTATACGCGTTAACTCTCTTGCATTATGTTACATAACTTCCAGACCTCCCCAACCGTATAGGGTCAGAAAATGCGGCAGCCTCAAGTGCGACATCCTACATCTATCAATGGACACAATTTTTTTTTTCTTTTAGCAGTTCAGAAAATTCCATTTTAAAACAAGTACTACAAATTGAAAAACTAAGTACAATTGCAATAATTAAATTAATTAAAAATTATTAAAAACGTTACCTATATAAAATTTTGACGTTTTAACAGTCATTTCAAAATCATACCTAGGTATAATGTAATTAATTGTTTTAATAGTCATGGTCACTTACAATAACATTTTAGTTTGATATTGTAACTCCTCGTTTTTGGGGTAGATAACATGACTAAAACTAATCATTATATTGTGGTTTTTTAGTTTAATACTTTTCGAAATAGCGCACGTTAAAATTCTCAAAAATGACAATTTTCATTGCAATGCACATTATTTTAGCAATTTGCAAAAGTGAAATTTTGTTTCAGATTTTTGTTACCAGTTATAGGATATATTTATTTAGTTACGTTTACGTTTGTATCAGTCTACTTTTTTTACAGACTGCATTTACTTTCTTTAGAAAAAAAAAATATATTTCAAGTGAACCAAAAGAGCCAAGAATATTCCATTAATGTTATGATTATGAATTCATTAGTTCATATAAGCAACAGTTTCAGAATCAATGTATACTTATAAGAATTTTGTAATTAATAGCAAAATATTTGCAGCGTTTAAGAATTTCAAATATTGTAAAAGTTGTAAAACATATCTTCAAGTTAACTACAACAGAAACAGCTTCTTCAACACAAGCTTCTTTTTAGTGTATCTCATTTCCGACAAAAAAATATCGACAATGTTTCCCAGGTAACGTATGGAATTCTGTAGACTGAAAACAGTGGTGAAAACTGCGTTAATAAATTTCTATAAATACTAGGGATACTGATTTTTAAAGATACGTGATGAAAAACTTCACCAAAATGCTAAAAACAAGATTATGATAAATTATTTTTAAAGAAACTGTTCTTGCTTTATATAGCGAAAATCGTTGACCGGTTAGGTATATCTAAAATTTCGTAATAAAAAGTCTGTTAATAACGGAGATATCTTCGAAAAATATATTGAAAATCCCGTGAGCGAAAGATAAGGGATTCCTTTCAAACTTTTAAAATACTAAATTTTTGTTAGTTTATTAATATATTAACTGCATTCTGAAATTTACATAGGTGTACAAGGCATCGTAAAAAATAAAATCTACACTTCCACTTCCAAGTGTCAATTTTTTAAATATTTATAAAATTTTACAACTGAGAAGTTACAAAAATAGACTCGCTTCTACATCTGCACCACTTAGAAAGCAGGTATTAAATTTTTATTTGTATGTCTATAAACAGACTCTTTCAGTATTTTAAAATGGGTGAATCTCCGACAAGCAATTAAATATTTCTCCAAATACGATGCTGAAATCCGTGGAAATTCCAAATAGCTAGAATCAATTACCGTATGTTTGAGGAAAAAAAGTCGTCTGGGAACATTTGAAATTCAGTTTAATAAAATTATGTTGGCAACACCAATATGTTATTTGTCTTGTGAATCACTTTGGCATTTACGGTTAAATAACTGCAAAACCAAGATCATTACTTTAAAAATAAATTTCATGGTTTACTATTGACTTTTTGTTTCGATTATATGATATTACAGAATGAAGAGGGTCTTTACCAGAGAGGTTGTTTAAAACTGTTTTAGTTTTTAGAATTGTCGACCTACTTATTATGACTTACTTATGTCAACCGTGTAATAAAGGTATACGAAGAATAGTATCTTATTTTTTTTTTCAAAATTAAAAATAGCAGTCAAATTGTATGGAGTATTGGAAAGGGTTATAAAAGCGCAGACGTGCAGAAGTAGGTTTATTAGAAATTTCGACGAATATATAAAAGTTTGTATGGGTTTTGTTGAATTTATTTCCCTGGTTTTCTCGACATTTCCAGGCTTCTAGAACATAAAAATTTTCGTGTATCTGTCTATCATTTGTTGACCATTTTATTACACAAATAATACTGCACAGATTGTTGTGACATTTGAGACGTATAATCTACTTAAAATGTACAAAACAATATGAGAATTTTATGTCGATTAAATAAAAAATAAAAAAGGTCTATATAAAATGTACCAGCAAATGTAATGTTGTTCATGTTTTTGGAATGTGGATTTTTTAGCCTTGAAAGTAAAAGTTGCCAAATTAAATTTTAAATTCAACTGATGTTAAAATTTTAAAAGATTTATTTAAAATCATGAATTTAAGGAAAATCTTTCCGATATTTTACTAATGTGGTTTTAATTTTTGTGATTTGCTTGCAGATGATATCCAGAAATAACACACAATGAATCAATGTAAATAACTTCCAATTTTCTTCAACACTCCGTATATTCTTTAATATTTCACAAAGATATTTCATTCTCCTGAATTTTGTAGAACAGAATAATGTATGTAGTATGTAGATAGTGTTTACGCAGTATATTTATTTATATTAAAATTAAAATAAAGAGTGTTTCAAAATTATTTTCATCTAGTTAGCTTTGAAATCGCTTCAACTCCTATCTTTCTCTTGATGAAAATCTGCAACCATAGGCGACTAGATGAAAATCATTTTGAAACACGTTTTATTTATCCTTAAGGAAAATTAATACATCAAACTTGAGTGTAGACTATGCTCTAAATGTATCCATAACCGATTGTATCTTCCTCTAAATAACTTTACTCCACTACCGTGAACAGAAATACAAAGCCAAATTTTACAGCACAACTTAAAGAGAAAATTATTATAAATTTAACTTAAGAAATACTAATTTATGTAAGTAACTAATGACCAAGAACACGCTACTTTGGCGTACGAGAATGAGTTTTTTGACGACGCGTAACTGAATTAAAAAATCATTTGAGAGCTTTATAAGAGTATTTCGTAATTCCATTTTAAGAATATATTTTTTGATTTGATTTCCATTGATTTACTAAAAAAAATTTATAGTCAAGTGTATGTATATTGGATTGAAATTTATTCGTACTCGATAGTTTAAACGATTTTCAGATACATAATTCTATGGCATTACGATACATTCACTCATACATTATCTGGTCCATATGTTTGCGTTTTAATGCAGCAATTACATGTAACACAATAACAAAAGAGAATAGGTGCTAATGGCACCCCAATAACTCGAGCTCCGACCGTGTCATTATTGCTCGTAATTATTTCAAACACTTTCCCCTGAAGAATAAAACCACTCGAGTGAAAAAACTGTGCTCCAGAGGTGTCGAGTTATTAAATGATTTGGTTTAATAACTGTATCGCCATAAAAGTAATATGGCCAAAAATGCCTTTCAATGGAAGAATATATTAAAAGTGACGGTAAACCACCCCCGGCATAGTGAACACGAACAATAGACGATCGGGACCGATAGTGATTGGTTCCTGTTCTGTTATCGACTACTGAATCTCATTATGTTCGATACACACACGCATCTCTATTGTTACTAAGTCTGCATAGGGGAAAGTACATGGACCAACACATGAGACGGTGACCCTCTCTGTGAAATTTCAAATAGTTGTTCTTTTACTATAAGTGCACTCTTATTTTGACAAATTTCCATTTCGAATGTTGTAAATCATCAATATCCTTGTAAGTGAAGGTACAGGTACTGTTGTAAATTGAAAACGTGGCTATTCTTCAAGTCTAGCTCACGAATTTGTTACAGAAGGCACTAAAACCGTATAATGAATTGTTCGGCGTTCTCGGAAGGCCTAGTCTTTGCTCTGGCCTATATTTTTTACAACTAACTGCTTATTACCTGCGTTCCGTAATATTAAAGAGGGTCTCGCCACGTACGAACTCAATCAGTAGCAAATCCATCATTTATCAAACTCGTGGTAAAAAGCGCCCACGACTTCTATAGGTTCACAGTTGCTGTTGGCGAGAGGATTATGAATTATGTAATGACGCATTTATAAAATTTTATAAAACTCTTGTTTCGTTTCACTGATTGATCGTATGTGAAATGCCGAATACATATTTTTCTTTGTCAGCTCTTAGTTCACATTCTGCAACGTGGCCAATACCCTAATAAATAAGATGAAAAAGCGGTGAATGGTCGGGGGTGGGTGTTTCACAGGGCAGCTGGCGAAATAAAAGAGCTGTGCGACAAACCTTAGGGGGTCGCAACCCCTCCCGTCCGACTTTTGGGGGAATACTTGACAATGTTAGCATTTATCCGAACGTGCCTGGACCGTGGCAGGACATGGTTAGTCGCAATTCCATTTTAGCCCCAGTTGGTAGTGAGTGACGAGTGCCAAGATGAACGTTTCAGCACAGTTTAGTGACTATTGGACCAACGTACACCTGTATCAGAATTACAGGAACCAGTTTTTTAGTGAGTGTGAGGGTGCTGAAAAAACACCTGAACATTACGCACACAACGGATACCACCCCGGAGCGGCATACCAAAACGTGAAAGAAGAACCGACGTACGAAAGCTGCAGGTTTTCGATAAATCAAACATATTCAAATAATTTTGACAATTCTATTACGCCGAGTGTGAATCACGACTTCACGCAACATTTGAATCAGTTTGACAGCTGTCAGCAGGGTCTTTACGACCAAAGCAAAGGTGTATCGACTAATGAGACCAGTCTGCTTCTCAATGAGAATAAATTGGAGAAGAAGGATGATGATTCGCCCGCACTACGGGCCCTGTTAACCAGACCGCAGGCGAAGAACAACAATTACCAAAGCATGGACTTCCAGAACTTTAACGAAGACACACCGTGCGAAGAAGAGCGCTACGGATCTCCTCCGACTGAAAACAAAAGTGTTGCTGAAAATGCCAGTTTTTACCCTTGGATGAAATCGAACGGTAGAATTTTGTAATTTGCGACGACGGTCTTTAAGTAATTTTTCTTGTAGGTGATTCAGCGAACGCCGGAGGCAAGAGAACGCGTCAGACTTATACACGCTACCAGACTTTGGAATTAGAGAAAGAATTTCATTTTAACAAGTATTTGACGAGGCGCCGCAGAGTTGAGATTGCGCACAGTTTGAGTTTGACCGAGCGCCAAATCAAAATTTGGTTTCAGAATAGGAGAATGAAAGCGAAAAAGGATACGAAGTTTTCGCAAGATTTTCTAGAGCAGTGTACTATTTCCTCGACGCAAAACTTCGTCCCTCTCTATACGGGCAACACCGGAATTAAAGAGACTTCAATGAATGATGTGGAGAGGAACGTCTACGACAAAGAGATCGCGAAGCCTTTGACCCAGATTAAAAACATACCTGGACCACCATCCTCGCCTTGAACGAGAAGGTCAGAGCAGTCAGAGCGAATATCAAAAAGTAATTTCTTTTGTAAATAAAATTAATTTTAGATTTATTTTTAAATGCAAGTCACTAGTTTAACGAGATATTCATATTATTCTGTAGATAGACTTTGCGGTATTATACTTTTTCAATAAACTTAAGTCTTTTGTCGGTGCTGTAACCACAACCCTTTCTTACACTTTACAACTCCTTGGGGACATAAGAACTGAAAATATTTTGACGTCCGTATAACAAGATTACAATAAGATTTGACAAATTTTCTATAATCCTTTTAAGCCTGTTCAATGAGTACTGACCGTAACAAATATTTGCACCACGAGGGTTGCAGAAATGACCATTTTAAATATTCACTTAATTCTCCCTCGAAACTACCCTCTTTCCCGATATCGTAATTATATTACTCATTTCATTATCTAACCCCATCTTTGACATTTTGTTTTTCGCTCCACATTTCAACCCTCAGCCCTCACACAAAGAGAAAGTTGGAGCGGCCTCCACTGCAGCTGCATATCAGGTAAGCATGCGCATCTGGAGCATCAAAGATGGCTGATCTAATAAGATAAACGCAACCGTGCGATGGTTAATCTCTTTGTTTCCAGTGATGTATTTATTTAAATCGATGGCAAAACAGATAGTGTGAGATTATGATGATCATAATATGGTATGTACAAACATTTGTTACTCGTTACTAGATTAAATCTTGGTTCACATGTTACGCGTGACGCACTAACGTTAGTGTTTTGTGCTGTAACAATAATTGCTGAACCATTGTTAATTATCGTGTTGTTAATCGGATTGTTCTTGTTTGATGGTAATCGATGGGTTTATGGGTGCGATGCATAGTTTCGCACGCGGTTTTTGCCGGTTGGAATACTGCTTATGCGATCTTAAAGACCTTGAAAAAGTCATTAATGATGGTTAGGTTGCTGCTGGAGCACACTGGTTTCTAATTGTTTAAAATATGACGGTTAATTAATTTTATATTCTAAAATGTAAATATTTATTATCGCTGGTATTGTGTTATGAAAGGTGTGAATTTTATAATTAATAAAATGTTGGTTATTCTTGTTAACATGCTTAACTAATAGTTAGTAGTGAATTGTTAGTGCTTTTTTGTTTTTATTGCTGTTGCTGTAATGTTAAGAAATATTATATGCCAAGTACGTGACAGAATTTATATATTCCTGTACCGCTCAAGCCATTGGCGAATTTTGTGGATAGTAAAATTTACAGCTCTACGGATGTTTTTTACATTTATCCGTATTATATAATAGTATAGCAATGGAGTTAATAGAACAAAAAACAAATTTTAAAAATAACAATTGTTTCCTGTTAGTTAAATTACGTAAAAGGTACACTACTTGTATGTTAATAAGAAGCTACTTTCTGAAGTATAGTGTCATATTATGTAGGTAACTACTGTTCGAAATTTATAATCTACGCAAAAAAATACGGAAATTATTTAACACTATAAAAAAAATAGCAAAATTTGTTCAATGTTATTTCCGAAAGGGCACCAGTCAGTTTATTTTTTTTGATAGATTATCGATCAACATAAAGTGACGGAATTTATTTCTAATTTAACCTACTTTGTATACTTCACGCTTTTGTAACACCATTGAAGTGAGAAAAGAGGCGCCATCCTGATTTTTTTATTTATTTCTTTAATAAATAAGTATCTGCGTTATAAATAATCTGTTTTTCCGTTAATATTTTGTTATTGTGAAATTAATAAATTAACCAAAAAGTTTTAATTTAGAAATTTAGAAAATTCAAACAACTCGTGTTTAAAATAACTAATTTCCCTATTCGTTACCGAGACAACATTACGTTATCCGACATGTTTGTAATTAATTTAAGCGGGGTATTAACGATAAATAATGTTAAGAAAACAATTGACCTAACAAGGATTTGCGTATCAAATAAATGTTTGCGTTGAATTAAAATTTCCTATACAATCGTTCTTAAAAGTGACCGTTTTATTAAAATCGCTTAAGCCTACCCATTCGTTTATTTGGAAAAATTAAGTTTCCCCTGAAGTACAATCAATTGTGGGTGCATGTTAAATTTAATAGAATAGAACAGTTTATTACGTATCTACGTGTTATATGTTACCTACGTAATATTTGTACCTTGAAAAATGAACCTCTAATTTATGGTAGGAAAAGAGAAATAATCTCTTCTAAAAAAACCAAAATAATTGTAAAATTAATGTCACTACAACGTTCAACAAAAAAATCGTCGAGCGAGTAATATGCCCTTTTTAATGAAATATTTTTTAATCAAAAAATTGTGTGAGATTTGATGATAGTAGACTAAAATTTGTTATTAAATCAGTAAAATAAATTGTTTTATTCAATTATTTGTTAAAATTATACATGATGTTTTCCTAAACTATAAGGAAATTCATTAAAAATTTAAATTTTAATCAAGTTTATGTAATCTTAAATCAAATTTGGTGTCTTGCCAAAATTTCAAATTCGTTCCATGTTCTAAGATAACATGTGAAATTTCATTTTACTAATTTTATTTTTCATAATACATATAAATTTTAAGGGAGATTTATTTAGCAACAATCTAAGATGACGACACCAAAAGTTTGGCGAAAACAAACAAATTTTTACAGGAGATTCTTAAAACTAGGTACATTTGAATTCTTATAACAGTCAATCCAAGATAAGAAAAACTGCTATTTTTTGCGTGTTTAACGTAAGTAATTAAAATTTCTCAACAACACTTATCGACATTTTTATCACACTTGATCTTATCGCGATATTGTCTAACTGATGCATACCTATATGTTATGTGTACAGGATATTTCATTTCAACTGATCCCTAAAACTTGTCTAAAAAATAATTGTAACGGTACCAATTTTGTAGAAAATGATGACAACTTTGCATTTTAATAAAATTCACCTTGTTCAAATTTTTTGTAAAATATCTACTGTTATTTCTTCTATATAGTAACACAAAATTTACAGTAAGTACCTAGTAGGTATCATAAAATAAAAAACACCAAAAGAATATTCAAACTGTATTTATTTTAAATTTTTGCATATTAACTTGTCATAAATTTTGTGTTACCATATTCATAACATTTTAGAAAAGAAATTACAGTAAAGAACAATTTTAAAATTGTTGCCGTTTCGGTTAGATTTAAAATATTATTGTTTAATACATTAGTAATATCGAATAAAAGAAACACACATCTCCTTATAGTGTTTGTGTACTATTCCAATAATGTCAGTGGATATTTGGTTGAAACAGATCGAACTATACTTAGCGTTTACTGTCTGCTTTTAAGAAACAAAAAACCAGTTGTTTCAACTATACACACTTTGTAACAACTTTATTATTACCTATGGAAAGACAGAAACTCACTGTAGTTTGCATTGACGATTCTTGGTCTTGGAATCTGTTATAAGTAGTTACAACAACTAAGATGACGTTTAAGATTAGTTGTTTTGTTCTATTTTCCAGTTGCTTTTTTTTTCAAAACTATTGGTTGCCAAAACTACAATACAGTTCAAAAATCCCAGATTTGATCATTTGATCCTCTTTATGTATAAAAAAAGAAATATTGTTATTGTTATAATTAGTGTTCGATCTAACATTCGGTTTCAGTTTCGGGCATGGGTCAGTTGCGTGCTGCGGTCAGAAATATTTGCATATAATAATTTTAAGGATTAAAACCATAAACACTGTAAAATAAATAAGTGTTGGGAGAAATTTGGTACTTTCAAAGACACAGTAGCATACGTATCTATTATTAATCTACGTATTATTATTAATCATTAGATACCGGGTGTAGAATCGTTTTTGGAACATAGAGGTTTTACGTGTAAAAATAGAAACTTGAAAATATTGGCTCCCTTAATTATTTTAGAAGAAAACATTAAATACAAAAATTGTAGAGAATAAACAACTGTACCCAAATCCTTTTCTATTTATTGTGTAACACCTTATGGCATTGAAATAAAACGAAGAAAATAATAATAGCCATAAAATGTGATAAATCATTGACAGTTGTCACTAATTACTGCACTTTGCACCTTTGGTTCTTGCAAAGTTAATTGGGGAAAATAGTACTACGGCGGGTACTCAATCCAAAAAATTTCACATACTTCTACAGCATTTTATCCAAATCGATAAATTCCGGGCCCATCAACAATCGAAAGAGTGTTAAAAAGTTTGAAACGCAAGGTCGTATTGTAAATAAATTCTGCAGATGCCAACAGAATAATCCTGGTGCTAGTGTAGAAAAAATTGAAGCTGTTCTTGTGTTTGACCATTTAATCTAAATTAGTGTCTTGGATTGTAGTTGCAAATAAAGCATGCTTTAAACTTTTTGCTAGATCCAAAATCAAAATAATTAATTTAAACTACAAACTAAATAGCCAAAAATGTTAAAGTAATGAATTTTATTTGATTGACACATGTAATGGATAGCCCAAATCAAGAATTCTTTTTTTCTTTTTAGGTATATGAATATCATAAGGTGTTACAAAAAGAATAAAGAATGGTTTAGATATAGTTTTTTATTCTCTACAACTTTTGTGTGTAACGTGTTGATCTAAAATAATTAGGGGAGCCAATATTTTCAAATTTTTGTTTTTTCCACGTAAAATCCCTATGTTCTAAAAAGAAAACAGTTTGTTGAGAAATTGCTTTATATATTTTTTATACATATTCATATCAAACAAGCACATCTGCTGATCTAATATATTTATATTAGTATAAACTTCTATCAGAAACGTTGAAGACTAGGCCAGTTTTCTAATTTTTTCGTCCCTGTGGTACTAAACTTACTGTGGAACTGTAATGCAGGAGGCTGAAAGGACAGCGCCGATTTCTTCGTATCAGCTAGGCACTTCTAGATAATGTCAGCACTTACAATCCCCTATTTTCGCTCAACTCTCCTATGCCTTTTTGGGAATTAAAGCAGCTTTATAGTGACCACCGCGCGCAAGTGATCAAC